GCTAATGTGAGGACAGAATATCAAATAAAGAAGATAAGATTGTGATTAGGGACCAGGAAAAGAAAGATTACTTTAAAAAAGCAAGGGATGGGCCAGGGATTTAGCTCACTGGCACCCCACCTGCCCTGTAAGCACAAGGTAATGAGTTTGATCCCTGATCCCTGGTACCAAAAAAACAAACAAGGGACCATGAAAATTCAATTCAGCAGCTGGTAGATATTGCAAAGAAGAATAACATAAGACTGATCAGAGTCAATGAAGAAACAGGAGATATTGCAAACAACACACACAGACACATACACACACAGACACACACACAGACACACACACACACACACACACACACACACAGGCACCAAAAACAAAACAAAAAAACTGTTCACAGAATTAATGATAGAAAACTTCCCAAACAGAGGAATAGAATTTGACGTACAGATAAGTGAGGTTTATAGGACTCCAACTAGCCATGATAAAAAAAAAAAAATCTATACCTAGATATATAAGATCCCAGAAACCCAACAGAAGAAAAATACTACAAGCACTTAGAGAAAAGAAACAAATCACATACAAAGGAAAGCTGATCGGAATCACAGCAGACTGCTTAACACAAACCCTCAAGTCAAGGAGAACCTGGAGTGAGGTATTTCAAACCCTAAAAGAAAACAACCTCCAACCTAGACTGATGTATCCTACAAAATTATCTTTCAAAATTGATAGGGAAATAAGATACTTCCATGAAAAAGAACACCTGAGAAACTTCATGAATACCAAACCAGCACTTGAAACACTTTTTTAAAATATCCTAGAAAAAGACAATGAAGTTCAAAATTCCATGAGGCCCAACAGAGCAAATCCAAAATATTTCATCAGGCAAGGAAAGAAATTAAATGGAGAGGGGAAAAAATAAAAAATAGACAATGACAGGAAAATAACATGACAATGATAAGTCAGTACAATACATATCAGTTATAACCATCAATGTTAATGTCCTCAATTAACCAATCAAATGAAACAGACTGGCAGAATGGATAAGAAGCAAAGTCCAACAATATGCTGTATACAAGAAATGCACCTAGTTCAAAAAGAAACTCATAGACTGAAAGTAAAAGGATGGAAAACAGTTCTCCATGAGACAGGAACCCAGAAAAAAGCAGGGGTAGTTATCTTATTTGCAGACAAAGTAAATTTCAAACCAATACTAATTAGGAGAGACAAAGAAGGCCACTACATCCTTGTAAAGGGAACAATTCAAGAGGATGAGATGACAAAAATAACTATATATGCATGAAATACTAATGCCCCCAACTATATAAAACAAATATTAAGGGACATGAAAAACCAAATAAGCACTAATGCAATTGTAATGGGGGACCTCAATACCCCACTGTCACAAATAGACAGATCATCTACATAAAAAATCAACAACAAAATACTAGAAATAAACCAAGCTTTTGAACAAATGGTCTTAATAGATGTCCATAGACTACTCCACTCCACAAAAACAGAATACATATCCTTTTCAGCTGCACATGGATCATTCTCCAAAATAGACTATATACTAGTTCATAGAATTTGTTTAAGTAAATGCAAAGGAATTGAAGTTATCTTGTGTATATTATCAGACCATGGTGTGACAAAATTGGAGATCAATAGCATAAGAAACCACAAGAACTTCACAAACACATGGAAATTGAATAACACTCTCCTGAATAACCAATGAGTCACAGAAAACATTAAAGAGGAAATTGGACAGTTTTTACAATTTAATAATAATAACAGTACAACATATAGGAATTTATGGGACACCATGTAAGCAGTTCTACATGGGAAACTCATAGCAGTGAATGCCCACACTAGGAAAACAGAGCAAGCTGAAATAAACAACCTAATGCTGAATCTTAATCTGCTATAAAAAGAAGAGCAAGAGAAACCCAAAGCTCATACAAGGGAGGAAATTACAAGATTAGAGAAGAAATCAGTGCAATGGTTACCAAGAGAACAATACAAAAATCAACAAATCCAAGAGTGGGTTTTTTGAAAGAATAAATAAAATCAATAAACCCTTAGCCAACCTTATCAAAACAAGGAAAGAAAGGGCTAAAATCCATGCAATTATCAATGAAAAGGGTGAAGTCACAACAGAGCAAGCAGAAATCCAGGGGATCATCAATATCTATTTTGAGAACCCGTACTCTTATAAAATGGAAAACACAGATGAAATGGACAAATTTCTCAATACATGTGAATTACCAAAGTTGAACAAAGAAGACATAAAAAGTCTAAACCCCCCAATTGTCATCAGTGAAATTGAAAATGTAATAAAAAATTTACCAGCAAATAAAATCCCAGGGCCTGATGGCTTCACGGCTGAATTCTACAAGACATTTAGAGAAGAACTCTTGCCACTACTCTTTAAGCTTTTCAATGAAATTGAAAGGGAAGCAATACTTCCAAATTCATTCCTGGAAGCAAGTGTTACTTTGATTCCAAAACCAGCAAAAGACCCAACCAAAGAAAATGAACTACAGGCCAATCTCCCTAATGAACATAGATGTAAAAATCTTCAATAAGATACTGGCAAACAGAATACAGAGGGTCATCAAGAAGATCATACACCCTGACCAAGTTGTATTTATCCCAGAGATCCAAGGATGGTTCAACATACATAAATCTATAAATGTAATAACACTATATTAACAGAGACAAGGACAAAAACCATATGATCTCAATAGATGCAGAAAAAGCACTCAACAAAATTCAACACACATTCATGATAAAAAACCCTTCAGAAAATTGGAGCAAATGGTCTTTTTCTCAAATTGATAAAGGCTATCTATGAAAACCCAACAGCCAACATCATACTAAATGGTCAAAAACTGAAAACTTTCACACTAAAATCAGTAACAAGACAAGGATGTGCATTATCACCACTCTTGTTCAATATAATTTTGGAAACATTAGACATAGCAATGAGAAAAGAGAAAGAAATAAAAGCAATAAAGATAGGAAACCAAGAGGTTAAACTGTCATTATTTGCTGAGAATATGATACTCTACATAAAGGCCCAAAAAACTCTTTCAAAATACTTCTAGACTTAATTGACAGATTCAGGAGAGTGGCTGTATGTAAGTAAGCGTTCAAAAATCAACAGCCTTCTTGTACACAAATAACAGACTCCCTGAGAGAGAAATTGGGGAAACAAGCCCTTTCACAATAGCATCCAAAAAAATGAAATATCTAAGAATCAATCTAATGAAGGAAGCAAAAGACCTGTACATTGAGAACTGTGACACTCTGAAAAAGGTGATCAAAGAGGATATAAGGAAATGGAAAGACATCTCCTGCTCCTGTGTAGGAAGTGAAAATGGCCATACTTCCAAAACTGCTATACAGATTCAATGCAATCCCAATTGAAATCCCAACAGTATATTTCACAGAAGGAGAGAAAACAATCCAAAAATTCATTTGGAATCAGAAGAGACCTAGAACACCAAAAGCATTTCTAGGCAACAGTGAGATGGCAGGGGGTATCACAATCCCCAACTTGAAACTATAATACAAAACCACTGTGATAAAAACAACATGGTGCTGGCAAAGAAAAAGACAGAAGGATCAGTGGAATAAATTAGAAGATACAGAAACAACTCCAGACATACTCAGCCACCTTATTGTGACAAAGGAGCCAACCATCCTCATTGGAGGAAAGCTAGCCTCTTTAATAAATGGTGTTGGAAAAACTGGATGTTAACTTCCCAAAGATTAAAATTAGACCCCTGTGCACCATGCACTAAACTAAATCCAAGTGGATTAAAGATCTAAATATTAAACAGAAACACTACACTTGCTGGAAGATATGTTAGGTAGAACTCTTGAAGATATTGGCATAGGAAAAGACTTCATGAATAAATCCTCAGTAGCATGGAAACTAGAACAAAGAATCAACAGCTTGGATCTCATCTTCTCACAAAGCTTCTGTGCTGCAAGAGAAACCACCAACAGAGCTAAGCTGTGGGAAAAAGTTTTTACCAGCTGTTCCTCAGACACAGGTCTACTATCAAGAATATATAAAGAACTCAAAAAAATCAGACACCCCCCCAATAGAAAGACCCAATTCAAAAATAGGCATCTGTAATGAACAGAAACATTTATCAGACAAAGAAATAAAAGCAGCAAATAAACATATGAAAAAATGTTCAATATCACTGGTCATTCGAGAGACGCAGATGAAAATAACACTGAAATTCCCCCTCACCCCAGAAAGAATGGCTGCTATCAAGAAACCAACCAATAACAAATGCTGGTGGGGGTGTGGCGAGAAAGGAACCCCCTCTTCATTGTTGGTGGGAGTGCAAACTGGTGCAACCACTATGGAAATCAATATGGAGATAACTCAAACAACTAGGATTAGAAGTTCCATTTGACCCAGGTATTCCTCTGCTGGGTATCTCCCCAGAAGATTTTTAAAAAATCATATCACAGTGATATATGCTTACCCATGTTTATAGTGGCACAGCTTGTAATAGCTAAAACTTGGAAACAACCCAATTGCCCATCAGCTGGAGACTGGAAAAAGAAGATGTGTTTTTTTTTTTAAATAAAATGGAGTACTACTCAGCCATAAAGAATGAGAAACTAGAGCTAAATGGATGCACATTGAGGCCATACTCTTATGTGAAATTAATAGGACACACATGTAGATACTGAATAGTTTCTCTGGTGTGAAAAACTAAAACAGTATATAAGGATCAAAATGTAAAATTGATATTGTGTAATAGGAAGAATGTCTAAAGGAGTAGGGCAAGTGTGAGGGGTAGATGAAAGGAAAGAAGGGAAAAGAAAAATATGAGAAAAGGATAAAATGAAAGCAAAGTCTTTGTAAATAGGGAAGGTTGGAGGGGGTGAAGGGAAGGCAGGGGAATGGCGAAAAAAAAAAAAGAACCATGATATATCGTGTAAAGGTACAAATTACCAATGATGAGTATATATTTGAAATGTACTAATAAACTTAATGAAAAGAAAAAAAAAGTGGAAAGTGTCATGGATTGAATCTATATTTTAAGTCTTATATCATGTTACCCTTTTCCTGTAGGATTTATAACAGAACTCTGGCAACTTCCTTTCTGGTATGACCCAATAGCCTTTGTATTCAAAATACAGATTTCATTACCTTGTGTCCAATTTATCATAACAGTATGTTGCTATATATAGCATAATGATGTATCAGATAGCATTGGAGAAAATGTTGGCCATGCAAGCTTATTCACCAGCATGATTTTATTTTGACTCATTAAAACATATGTTATTAATCTAAGTAACTATATGGTGGCAGAACATGTTCAACCAAAAGGCATGATCTCTTCCATAGTTTGGGAACACAAATGTTATGTATATAATTTCCTATTTGGTTTCTAAGTGCAAAACAATCAGCTGAAACCATTTTCAGTGGGCCAGGAATCAACTGAACTCTATCAAGGTAGTCCACAAGAGGAAACACAAGAACTAGAAGAACGGTCATGAGTTCTACCCATGGAATAGAGTGACCAGATCTACAGTCATTCCTGATCACGTTCTGTTTTAACACTGCCAAAGTCTCTGAGCCACACCAGGTATCAGTCTAACTGAATGTTCAGTGAAGCAGGCCCAGCCATTTGGTTTCTTCCGTCAGTTGAGGGACCCACTTATCCAGCAGCTTTGCTTCAGAAGGTTGAATAGGAGATGCAGTTTTTTCCTATGGGACAATTGTCAGAATATCATAGGGATCAGCCTGGGTTCATTTTAAATATCTCACTTAAATTTTAAATGGACAATTTGTGATGCCTTTTTACCTTTCTAATCATGAAGATTTGACTTACCCTCAAAATATATCAAACCAGAGAATTACAAGTTCTTCATAGATTAGATGTTTTGTTTTGTCAAGAATTTACTCTTAAATTAATAGTTGCTATTCTAAATGAGTGTATGTGGTAGCTATATTCCCAGCCATGTGGAAAGAACACAGTCCAAAACCCTTGAGGACCACTTCAAAATGAAGCAGACTCTTTTTGCCAGAGGCTCCAATTAGTAAAACTACTAAAAAGACTTGTAGCTGAAAAAGTTCACTAGATTGAAGGGGCTCCCAAAATATTGACACTTGCTTAAATACACTTTTATAGTTTGGAAAATGCCCCCTGGCACTTATGGGTTGGGAAATAAATCATAAATCCCTACTATACATCCGGATGCAAAAATAACAATGCAGATGGCTTCTAATTTAGGAAGGTTTAACTTATATTTTTCAACTTTTTGATCGTGTGAATCCAATATACATACAGTAGAAACTGTACTTCAAATTTTGAATTTTGACTTTTACCATGTTAGTAATATGTGTTATAGTACCCTCTCCTGATGCAGTAGTATACTGTGTTACTAAGTGAGGATATTTCGTCAGCTAGGTGTATTAATTGCACCTCTACTTATACAATATTTCAAATTATGAAGGATTTAATGGGTTCTAACTCCTCATAATGAAAGAAATACCTCTACATTTAATTTAATGGAATATTCTTCATGTTAGCTACCCTTTCTGGCTGCAAACTCTACCCCAAATCCATTAGCTACATTACTTCTCCCTCCTGATATAGTGGAATGATGATTTGATTGCCCCTATTAAATGGAATCTAAAAGTTTTTTTACTTCTTTCTCTCCCTTAAGTTCCTCTGTATACTTGTAGCAGATCTATATTTCCTTGATGTCCTTTAGTTTCTGAGGAAGACTGACCCTATCCCTAATTTCTTTGTTCTTTTAAGAAGTTGAGGTTGTGACAAGATTGTTTGAAGGATATGTTAGTCCATTTTCTATCACTGTGACAAAATACCTGATATAAACAACTTAAAGGAAAAAAAAATTTTTGGCTTACAGGTTCAGAAGTTTTAGTCCGTGGATGTTGGGCTGCACTGCTTTGAGCCTGAGGCAAGGCAAGACTACTACTGAGTCAGGAGCACATGTCGGAGGAGGCTGCTCACTTCATTGCTGCAAGGGAAAAGAGAGAAAGGAAGGGCAGAGGGAGGAGAGAGGAGAGAGGAGAGAGGCAACAGAGGAAGAGAGGTGGCACTGGGGACAAGATATAGCATTTGCTGGTTTTGTTTTGTTTTTGAGACAAAATCTAGCTGTGCAGTTTAGGTTGGCCTTGAACAATGCTGGCCTTGAATTCAAAGTGATCTGTTTGTGTGTGTGACCACGCCCTGCATAACTGGACATGCCATTTAGAGACACATCTCAGTGATCTTTTTCCCCTGTTAGGTTCCTTTTTCTAATAGCCTATGAAGCTCAGAATACATCCGTGGACGAATCCACTGATGAGAGCAGCACTCCATGATCTAATCATCTCTTAAATTCTATCTCTAAAGATTGATGCACTGGCCTTTGGCTGGCTATTTAGCTCAGTGGCACTATCTCCTGCTTCACAAGCACAAGGTCCTGAGTTCGATCCCAGGTACAAAAAAAAAAAATTGATCCACTAGGGATCAAGTTTTCAACAGGGTTCCTTCAGTCTCAAACCATAACAGAGAGAAAGAATGTCTATGTTTGACTAAATTCAATTTTGAATTGAATTTTTTTTTGAGCAGTGCAGTGATTGCTTCTATGGAAAGAACAAACATATACTAATTTTCCATCCAAGTCTCTTCCATTATTAAGTTTACCATTATTGTCATATTTTTCACTTTGAGAACCTCACAATTGAATACTGTAATCACCCATTGCCATATTTCTTTCCAGACATGTCTGTTAAGCTTGCAACATACTCATTTAAGAAATCCACCAGAAGCCAAGGCATGTGCTGTCCCGTTGTTAGCACAAATTTCTTTTGTTATCATGTAGTTTGCAATAAGAGGGCCAGGTGAGATTTCAAGATGGCAGCGTTGACAGCAAGAACCTATGTAGAATTATGAGTCACATTCTCATTCTCCAGTGTGTCGGCCTCCTGAGCACTGTAACCCTAAATTGGGACAGAGAGATACACATCCTGACTAATGCCTCTGTCCTTTCCCAGAGGAGCTGTCTGTTTCTTAAAAAGATGAGGAATCCGTTAGAGCAGCAAAAATCTAAGGCAAAACAAACAAAAGCAACCCTAAAATCCTTTATTACTCTCTTTAAATAGATATGATTGGCATGGTAGAAAACAAGAGGGGACTGAGAAGGCAAAATGACTGAACCGCTGTCATTCTTTGTATCAAAACCATGTGCTCTGCTCTTCTCCCTCATTTTCCAAAAGGACTCCTCAAAGTTGGAATGATTTTTGTCTTCTGTTTGTGCTCTGTGTACGTCATAATTTTCCTCCTTTCACACTCAGTGAATGTGCATGTCTCTCTATTCTCTGAAATAGGGTAAAACTTTCTGTCCACCAAGAAAGAATGTTACTATTAGTTGTTTTAAAGGGGCACACCTGATTCTCATCAGCAGATCCACAGCAAGGCCATCAGACTGGCTATGCTCAGCCCAGAGTACAGTTAAAACAAACAAGGAAACAATCTAGGCAACTCTCTTTGAACATTTTTCTAATTAATCAGCTATAAATTTGGAGATTTCTTGCTGCTTTAGAGACTATATTAGTTTTCAAGGCTCCCATAACAAAATATCACATGATGTGTAGCTTACAAAGGAAATATTTTCTCTCAGGTTTAGATGTTGAACATCCAAAATTGAGGTATCAACAAGGTTGCTCTCTTTAGCTTGCAGACAGTTACTATTCTTTGCTGTTGATTTGTATTGCTGTGATGCCCCTTTTTGTCCATTATGTTTTCTTCCTGCAGGGACAGGAGTCAGATTAGGTTAAGGATCACTTGTATGACCTCATTTAACTTTAATCACAGCTTTAAAGACTTTAGCATCAAATATATTCATATATTAAAGTATTAGAAGTTAGGACTTCTTGCTGGTAAAAATTCAGTCCAAAAATTTGAACATTACAGTTAGTATATATTTTCAATATTATATTTGTGGATAAAAGTCATGTCATTTTGAATATCTCATGTTTTTATTTTTTAAAAACTGTTAAGAAACTGATATTTTACCTTACTTGTAACCTAACAAATTATCTTGTGATATTTTATAGCTGTTGGCAGAGACACAAGATACCTGGGTCAGAGGCAAAAGACTTTATTACTCATAATAATAGCAGTAGCTGAGGTATTAGTGATTTTTTGGTGACAGTTCTTAAAATTCCAGTTCCCAGGAGACAGGGAGGAGACTTGAGGATTGCTGTATATGAAGGGGTTGTGCTAAGAAGGAGGGACCCTAAACTTAGAGAAACCCAAATCTCTGCTGCTGCTACTAAGTAGCCTGGTAAGTAGGCCTGCCTCTTGCTTTGAATGCAGTTATTGTCTCTGTATACATGCCTGAAACTATACTTTGAAACCAAGTCAGTGCCTTTATTTACCGGATGTATATAAACATGAAAGACACATGGAGACATGACCCCAGTGTAGTTTTATAGAAAAACAATGAGTTAAACAACTAAATATATGGCCTAAGTCATTTGAGAAAAGTTTTAATTGATAAAAATTAAAAAATAAAAAATTGAAAAAAACTGAAAACAAGGACTTTTGAATTCTCATTGACTAGAGAAATCTGTATTGATTTTTTAAAAAGCATTAGCCTTGGAATCCAACTGTTTTCTACCAAAATATTTTATCGAATATAAAAATATATTTTGCCAAGAAGTTAACTAAATGAAGTTTGTAATGATTTATTGAACAAATTCCTGCAAGAAAATTAAAACTCTAAAACTAGAAATTTTCATTCACTACTTTAAATGCATGAAAGTAATGATAAGGATTTATTTCCCAAAAACATTTTATTTAATGTTAATTCAGCTGTTGAAAATATAGATCCTTATCACAGAAAGAAATTGCTCCTGTGCTACCTGGTAAATATGATAAGAACAATGTTATAAAAACTCAAGTTTTGGCTTGTGAAGCAAAGTTGATGTGATTCAAAAGCAGCATGAAAATAAGATATGAGCAATACAGTCTGTGTACTGGGAATTTGGCAAGAATATTTGCTAAGTGTTAAGACAAAAGTGAAATTTTGGAATCCCTGACTGAAGTAAACTCATAGCATTTTTAAAGGATTCAAAACTGTGCCTAATGTTAACAGATAAAATTGTTTACATTTACCATGTATAATATGATTTCTGGTGTGAATATACATATTTGTACACAGTGAGTACAAATAATATTATCTGTCAATAAAAAAATGTCTCTTGGGCTGAGAGTGTAGTTCAGTGATAGAGCAATTGCCTAACATGTTTGGGGCGTAGAATTAACTCCTCAGCACTACAAAAAAATGAATAAAAAAAAAACCTACCATGAGTAGCAAAGTTTTTAACTACTATGTTAAAAAATATCAAAGGAAAAAGTAAGGCATGAAAATTAAGTTTATAAAAGGCTATTTTGGGCCCCATATTCTCTGGTAGAAGTGAAACCCATGTTAATTATGTGCGAAACTCTGCGGTGAAATGGAACATGTTTCGCTCTCTCATTGACTTCTTGTCTCTTCTCTCCTAATTGTCTTCACTCACCTGCTTCTGTCTTTTCATCCTCACACTCACTCATCATTGGTCTGACCATGAAACACTTAGTGCGATGAATAAGTGTGTACAAGAAATTAAAGAACTATAAGAAGTGGATAGGGTAAATCTGAAGAGGAATCTTAGGTTCCCAAATTAGGATGTATTTTTATGTAGCTGGTTTTAGGATACAAATGTTTGGTTGCAAAGAACTTAAAACTTGATTAACAGTAATAAATACATCAAAGTTTTGTTTCAGGTTCCCCAAAAGCAAATTTTGAGATGAGTATTTGTGTGAAAGATATTTCACGAAGATGACTCCCAGAAAAATCCAGTGAGGATGTGAAAGGAACAACATAAGTAAGATAAAGATGCCAGGCAAAGTGAATTTTCAGATAAATTTCTAGCCTCTGTCTGAACTCACAAGGGAACTTTGCAAAAGGAACTACTCAAGATGTTTGCCACAGTTCAGAGCAATAGTGTTAAAATTTCCTGTACTCACTGCTAGTATTACTATAGTCCAAAAGGCTGGTTAAGTGAGGATGAGAGAGGAGTAGATGTATAGTCTAAGGCATTTCTATTTCTTTGCACAAACAGAAAATCAGATTTAGAAAGCTGAAAAAGTACTTCTTACACAATTCTAGGTATGGGCCCTTAGAAGAAGAAGACATCAAGATTTTTGTTGGATTTTATTGTCAGCACTGGGAAGAAAACCCAGTGCATCTCCTGCACTAGGAAAGAACTCTACCATGGAACTACCTCCCCAGCCCTAGAAGCTGAGAAGAGAGGCACAAAATTGGTATGCAAAATTTTACAGTGTTTGCTGAGGTCTACTCTTTTCACCGCCCAAATCTGTGTCCATCTCCCAATAATCTTTCTTCCTTTGATAATGCCTTTTTCCAAATTGTGACTGGGAATAATTCCTGGCACAATAAATATACAGAAGGGTTTAGTGGATAGGGTTACTGTTGTAGTACATTTACCCTTGTATCACCCATTTTACTCTACTGCAGTTTGTTCTTCTTACATACGGGAGTTTATTGGTTCAATAATCCTGTCATCCTTATGGGATCTGAATCTATACTTACCTAATTGGCTCAGAGAATCCACTAAATGATGAACATATCCCCCTCCCCATTACATAGCTGTATCAACCCAGCCTCATGATGACCAAATATATTAGCCCTTCCAGTATGGAATATCCTTTACCTATGAGTCTGCATGGTCTCAACTACATGAAGACCATAAATGAGCAGGCCACAGCTTTAGCCTCAGATTGATTCTCCTCTTGGGGAATTATTTACTTTGGAAAACTAGAACCTCTGAGCTTACAATCCCAACATCAACAAGGATTGGAAGCAGTATTTCCACAACTATGTCACTGGAAAACATTGAGAACAAATTGCTTCTTTCACCTCCATTTCCCTGACCCATTTGTAGAACACATTTTATAATGGTTGCTGTATAAGTTGCTAATCACTAAACAATGGTCAAGCTTTGAAGGAGCCAACCTTCATGTTGCTGTGGCCATAATTAAAGCTAGACAAGGGTATCCCAGTGGTGTATTCCACCAAAAGATTGTGAGTGATGCAGGAATGGAAGTGTCAGTATATTCCATGCTAATATTCTTACTAGTGTAATTAACTTGCCATAAAATTTCCTTGTTTTGTAGTGACATTTTTAGGGTAGTATGCAAGAACATTACACATATATTAACCACTTGAAAAGAGGTATCTGCTAATGTACTACAAGCAGAAATTTTAAAAAATATCTTTGAATAACTGTCACTAGCTTTCTTAAATTCTTGGGATCAATGTAATCAACTATTTACAGATACTGGTTCTGTCCTCTCTTACTTAGAGGTCTCTTCTGAGGTTCTAGGCTCTAGGGTCTTGACATAACAGCCCTTTTTTGCTCTCAGCCTTCCTCAGTACTAACAGGCTTGCAAGTCAACTTATAATAAGTTGTAGTATTATTTCCAAGGTATGTGCCACCTGAATATATGCTACTTATAAACCTGAGAAGACCTGAAAGTCATGCAGCTTTTTCCTGAGTTATACAATGTGAAATATTTTGTTTTCTTGGAGTGGCTCCCTCTTCATGTTCCAAATGACCAGATTTATAAAACCTTTGCCAGTATTGTAGGCCCTGTCATTTTATAGAGTTGTATCCCTTTAAATAATTGAATAATTTTTACAGAGTATTCATAACTCTTATTTCATCTTTCTTATAATGTCCAAATAACATGATTTAGTCAATTTAGGATACACTATTATATTCTAGAAAATCTAAAAATCAAAATTCTTCAACATTTATGTGGCAGGAGAGAGAAAGCTATAACATGTCTCTTGTGAAGTCAAACTAGTTCTGTTTCTCCTGAGGGAACAATTGAGATGGATGCATTCACAAAATCAATAACTGGATCGTATATATTACAGGCTGTGTTTTTCTGTCCTTTGAGAAGATAGTACAGGTGATGGAGCAGCATAATTGAGGCCACCACTTAAATATGTTCCCAGTAGCCCATTAACTGCTATCCTGATTACTCTTGCTTTTGCACAGTCAAACCTGGTCAAGTAAATGATCATCTATGGAGGACCACCCCCTCATTATCCTTTAAATCTTCCACAGTTAAACCAGCCTTGGGCATTTTACAATCAGAGTTCATTACTTCATATTTTTCTTTTTGGTTGAGTTGTAGGGAGATAGTTTTTAGGGCATTCTTTGGTCTTTCTTTCTATTATAGTTCTTATGCTGCAGAAAAATATCAATAATAACATACTCTAAAAATTTTATCAGATGTTATTATTCCATCTGAATAACCCTTTTGGGAATTTTTTAAATAGTCATCAGAGAATCAAGGGGTTCAAATCCACTGTGAATTGAGTTTGGTCCAAGATTCAACTTATCATCTGGTTTGAACATGTCATTTATCATGGTGTGGATTAGGTCCCTGAGTATTCCACTTACTCCAGTATGCAGATCCTTGGGTAACTGGTCATCAGATATTTTAGGCAAAGCTTTAAGTGAGTAAACTTTTTTGGTTTACTTGCTTAGGAAACTCAGAGTACATATCTAGGGTGATTCAAATTCTCTATCAACACATATGTTATGGGTCTTAAAATTGACTGAGTTTAAGACCAATGAAAGGTGTTATTTCATTCCACTGGAGTGCCTACCCACAGGCTATGGTCTGCCATTAATATCTCATTTCCCTAACTTTATAACTAAACTCTTTTCTGTATGTACATGCATATACATGTTCTATTATATTATATTTAAATATTAATGTGTTTTACATGTTTTTTTCCCTCATTGGGGATTGAACTCAACACCTTGCGCTTGCAAGGCAGGCACTGAGCTAAATCCCCGGGCCTAATATTATGTGTTTTAAATGTAGTTTGTTACAGTTAAAATAATTTATACTTTTAAATGCTGTAGTTAACATACATTTCCATTACAGAGCAAACCATATCAACTGAACATACTGGTTAATGTGTTTGCTACACCTGGAAGGAGACAATGTACATTTGAACTTGGCACTACAATTTATTAGATGGGGCAACTTACATAACATCTTTCTTATTCAGTTTCCTTATTAGTAAAAATGGATAAATAATACTATGCATCTTAGAATTGATTAATGAATTACTGAAAAATATTTGGAAAACTTCCCACTAAGTGCTGAATGCTATGAGATTTACCTATATCCACCTAATTATGAATTTTAATTGTCTACTCTTACATGTTTTAATTAATTTAATTCTACTCCTATAATGGACATAATAAAATACAAATCATTTCTTAAAATTTCAGTTCTTTCTTTAGCACAGGTTTCTTTTTTTTTTTCCTTAAATTCTTTTATTTGTACATTTTAGATATACAATAAGTTTATATTTATCACTGGGTGCTTATACCTGTACATGATATCTTGTACATCTATCTTGGTTCTTATTTTTTCCCCATTGCCTGTGCACACTTCACCCGCTCCAACCCTCCCTATTTACATAGACTTTGCTTCCATTTTTTTCTTTTCTTATATATTTTCCTTTCTCCTTCCCCTCCCACTTCCCCTACCCCTTTGGACCCTTTCTTCCTATTTCAAATTATCAATTATTCGTTTTAATTGTTTTAATCCTTATTTACACTTTCAGTTTCTCACACTAGCAGAACTATTCGGTATTTACATATGTGTGTCCTATTTATTTCACTTAAGAGTATGGCCTCAATATGCATCCATTTAGCTATAAATGCCTCTAGTTTGTCATTCTTTAGAAATAGATCACACTGAAGAGTTCATTTAGGCCTAAGGTTTACTATATTTGGGCTATCCATATACTATAAACAAATATTTTTTATACTTCATAGGCCCACAGTACATCCTGTCTTACTTGTAAGCTTACTTAAAACAAAACATCATTTTGGGGTGAGGAAATTTTAACTAATAAACCATGTGTCATATATTGTAGAAAGGCAATCATATTTGGAAAGATTAATCAACCTAAGATTACAGTAGATATAAGAATCTCTCTCTCTCTCTCTCACACACATACACACACAAAATTTTGAGGCTTAGCTGTATTTTGAAACTACCACATCAGATTTTTATATATTTTATGTGATCTCAGTAAGGAAACATTAAAATCTTCACAAATTAAACCATAGTTGTTAATTTTAAATTGGTACTGATAAATTCTAAGACAGGCTATTCTTAATCATATTTTCTAAAAGTAAGCTTAAAGTTTTCTAAAATACTATGCGCTAAATTTACCTGATTTGAATATATTAAATTTTATAAAATTATAAGAATTACATATATATGTACGGATTTATCTATTTCTGATTGTTTATATTATGAAAAATACTTTAAATTAAATTTGACTTATAGGAAAATTCTCTAGCATTCAAAACAATGTGATGAAATATTAGAAGAGAGATCAAATTGACTATAATGCTAAAACAAAACTCTAATGAGAAGGCTAAAATATTAACAAAAAAATAATCATTGCAAATGATAGGAAAGCAAAAACTACAATGAAGATTAATCGTTACACCATAATCCACGTGCAAGAAGATAAAACAACAACTGAAAGACTTAAAGCTTTCAGTATTATAATAGATCTATTTCTGAATACTTTTTTCTCATTCTTAATTTTAAAAGTTCTAACAGTACTATAAGTTTATGAAATACATTGGACTCAATTTTTTTGCTTGTAGCATCTCCATGTATTATTATGGTAGCAAAAATGATAATTGAATATGTCTAAAATGTGTTAATTTTATTAACATCTCTCATCAAGGAAAGTACAGTGAGCACATGGATTTCAGTACGTATCATGAACTGAACTGTCTTGCAAGGCTGTCCTCAATCATTAATAGCAATTTTGTGCATGACTAACTTTGGACCATAGGTTTAATGTCAGAGGACACACTATACACCTACTTAGTTCCTCAACTTCCAATAGGGAGGTGTCTGACAAAATTTCTGCTAAAACACACTTTTGCCAAATGCTAGTGCTTTTAAGTGTTTTGGGAAGCAGCAGACATTAAAAGCTTTTATAATGCAAGTGATTTTTTTATTCTACTTACTTATTTTTTACATTCTCAATTAACATACTGAATTTTGAAGGTCAAAGTTGAAATCAGAGTTTCAGCTTGGGGTTTATGCCTCAAGATACAGCCATGTGCACATGGTCCGACTGAATAAAGACCATAGTGAATGCCTAGACTTGTAAGAAAAAGTGGTTTTAGAATACTGTGCTCTTTATTTAATTATTTTCAATGTAAATTGAGGAAGGAGAAGCCTCCTTAGATATGAGGAAAAGATTTAAGGGTTTGAAGGTCATTTTCCTATAAAAATGTCTCATTTAGAGCCTTCTATATTCAGAGTAGGGAATTAGATACTGTTATCTTGACAGATTTCACACAATGACCTTCATGACCTTCAAAGCAACAAGCAAATTCGTAACAGCATTTTTAGGAGACATATAAAAATAGTCTGAGAAATATTACAAATGGTATCAATTCTTTTTTCACTGTGTAATGCAGCAAAATGTATATTATGGAAGTTACTGTGTAGTTTACTTTCATTGTTCATGAATTCATTTGGGATTGTGTTTCTGTAAGGACTACATATTTATAATTTACATTTAAAATATTCTTCCAGTGTTTTACCTTCATCATTTACAACTGCTGCAGAGATTACTGAATATATCACAATCCTAGAGAGAAGGAAGAAACTTTTTACCTACTATTATGTTTGAAAACAACAGTAAAGGAAGAAAAAGGAAAAGTCTGTTGAATGAAGGTAGCGGAAATTTTTTAGAAAAGGAGACTCAACTGCACGATGTGGCTCTGTAGTATTTCTTCTGCTATTGGATTAGCATTTCTAACCTGTAGAAAGAAAATAGATGAAGGCATTTTACTGCTTTTTGAAACTTGGAGAGTAAGAAAATTTGTATTTTAAATAAAGATTTCAATTCCTGACCTCACCAGCCTACTCTGCAATTGAAACAAAGTTATTAATTTTTAGCCTCAAGTAAATGAGAATTCAGAATTTTAGCTCTGCATGTGAAAGCCCAGTAAAATGGGCCATGGCCAGTAAGTAGAACCACTGCGTATGCAAATTCAGGGCACATTAGGGGTAGATTCATTTCACAATGTCATAGTAAGTCACTATAATAGGGATCTATCATGAATTTGTCAAAAAAATTCACGTTCTTAAACCATTCTATACTGAAGTTCAGGAGAGGTTTTGCTTCCTAAGACACTTAGTGTTTGAAAGTTTAGATTTTTAGATGCCTTTCAAATTTCTGGACCCTGATGAACATTTTTGATGCCTCTTATTTTCAAATTATTTCATTATTGTCAAATTACTTCTTAGGATACGGGAATGTAGTGTGACTTAGAAAACATGGTTTCTACCCCAGCTTTATCCCTAGCCAACTGATTCTGAGCAAGTCCCTCAAGCTATTTGGCACAATTACAATTTGCAGAATCATCAAGTAAACACATAAATAAACTAAAAGTCAGGAATCAGTGTCTACAATTACAATGACAACTAACTTGATTTTTTTTCTTTTGTTTCCGATTCATCTGGCATCCGTAATCTAGTGGATGAAATGGTTTCATAACAGAAAAACTTACTGATATTCCAGTTTCTAAAATTGTGTATCTTTTCACAGATATTTCAGCTTCAGTGATGGCAAAATTGTGACACAACTGGAGCACCAAGTTGTGGAAATAACTTAACTCTCTAAACCCCACAACCCTTTCTGTGATCTTTAGCATTTCTTTTGATGTTTTCTTTAGGATCTGCAGTTAAATTAAAAGGGGGATTTTCTGCTACATGATTACAGCTGAGAACCTCTTAACATGAGTCTACTTTATTCCAGAATATCCTCAGTGGCTTTTGATGGTACCAGTGGCTGCTCTGGTAATGGAGATGCTAGAGAGGGAAAATGATTGTCCCTGCCTAGCACATTTGCCTTCAGTGGCAGATTTGAAGACACTGCACTAGCACTGTGTATAGTTAAATGGACAAGGCCACCAGACATACGGTCACTACTTTGTACTTCTGGGCCCAATTTATAGTAAGTCTTCTCACAAAACATTTGATGACGGATTTGTAAATATATACACATTTTACTCCAAGTTTAATGATTTTGCAATCTTCAGCCGTAATACACCCAGTTTTACTAAACTGATAGAAGAGAGACACTGTTTATACACACATTTTTAGTAAGTGACTGTAGACCCGTGGTTTTGGGAAGCAAAACTCTATAGTTATAAAGGTATATTATATGTTTTCAAGGTTGCTAATTATTTTTTTCATTAATTTTATTGGTACATTTTAGGTATACAATATGATGATATTCACCATTGGGAATTTGTACCTTTGCATGATATATCTTGGTTCTTATTTTTTTCCCCATTCCTCTGCCCTCCCTTCAAGCCCTCTACCCTTCCCTCTTTACAAATACTTTGTTTCCATTATTTCCTTTTCTCATATTTATTCCTTTCCCTTCTTTCCTTTCCCCTACCCCTGCAACTTCCCCTTGCCCTTTGGACCTTTTCTTAGATTACTAGTTTTTAAATCTACGTTTTGAACACATTATTTAAAAAATCTTCCATCAAATTAGTGACATATTAGTATTGATTTTTAATAATATTCAAGGAATAGCCAGGTATGTTATCATCTCAAAATGTTAATTTCTTAATTATATTCTGAAAAGATTTCATAGGAGACCAATCAGGATATTTTCTTTCAGCTTTGGGGGTAAAGAAAGACCATTTCCTCTCACTGTTTTTTTTTTTTTAGCTTTTGTTATTCATTATGTATGTTAAAGTTGTTTCTATTGAAAAATTATTATTTTGTTTTTATATAGTCATTATCTTATTTATTTTCTGAACTTTTTTATTATGTTTCCAACTTCTTATTCACTAACAAAAGCTGTAACATGTATGCACAATAAATATTTATTAAGTATGGCATATTTTAAAAATTATAAAATCTAACATTTACTAGAGCTTGATGAATTAATTTTACTTTTATTTAAGAAACAAAAATGATAGATTTTTTTTCTCTTTTAGACAAGGTGGAGGAATGAGGGAATGGATTTGATTCAAATTTTAAATTCACAAAATGCAAAAATATATGAAAATATGAAATGAACATACCTGTGTAGCTATACCACATTTCTGATAAAGAACACTATCATCCCCCTGGATGACTTACTGTGTGTCTTTCCTAGTAAAAACATATTCATTAAGTTAAATAGTAGTTCCACTTTTATCAGCATTGAATAGCTTTTCCAGTTAAAATTTATTTCAATGAGAACAAAATACGTACCACTATGCATCTGATTTATTTTATTCCATGTTTGTGAAGATTAGTCATGTTATCTGTACCTGAAGCTCAATTGCTTCCCCCTTGTTTAGTATTCCACAACTGCATATCACTTAAATCATTTATAAATTCTACTGTAATTCACATTTGGCAGGTTTCCCACTTTGAGGTACTAAAAATAATGCTACTACAAACATTTTTGCCTATGCCATTTTGTGCAGTATAGACAAATTCACACTGAAGTTATATATAGGAATGAAATTAGAGTCAGTTTGAAAATGTGTTCAGCTTAGTCCATACTGTAAAGTTTATATTATAAGCAATTTCCAAAATGATTACAGCAAATTATGCTCTTTGCAGTAGTATGTAATTTGATGTTTCTTCATATCATCACAAAAATATAGCATTGATAATTTATTTTGGTGTTTAATTATGATTTTAGTTTTCATTTCCCTGATGATTTAATGAATCAAGAAAGTTTTTATAAACTTATTAAGCACTTGTATATACATTGTGTATTTTATTTTAGTCTTTTGTATTTTATTATGGCAGATTAAGCCCACTAATAAGATATGCAAATGATATTTTTTTTTACTTTTTTTAATAGCACAACATTTATTGGTACATTCTAGGCATGCATAATGATAACATTCATCAGGGGGAATTTGCATCTGTACATGGTATAATCTGCCCCTTTTTTCCCTATGCCCCCCTTCAAGTACCGTTTAGAATATTCCTTTTTAACTCAATGAAAATGAAATTATGAAAAAATTTATTCACAGTAGCTTCAAGGAAAATGAAATACCTAGGAAATAATCTAACCTAACCAAGGAAGTGAATGACTCCTAAAAAAATACATTGTTCTGAAAAAAGAGATTGAAGAAAAGATAAAAAATTGGAAAGATGTCCCCTGCTCCTGGATAGGCAGAACCAATATTGTAAAAATTCCAAACTTCCAAAACTGTTATACAAATGCAATGCAGTTCCAATCAAAATACCAACAGCATACTTTACACAGCTGGAGAAAACAATCCTAAAGTTAATATGGAACCAGAAGAGACCCATAGTAGCAAAGACAATTTTGGGCAACAAAACAGAGAAGGAAGCCTTGCAATGCCTGACTTCAAGCTATATTACAAAGCAATACTGATAACAATGGCATGTTACTGGAACAAAACCAGATACATGGATAAATGGAGCAGAATAAAGGAAACAGGAACCTCCTCAGACGCATTCATCTACTTGATGTAAGAGACTAAATCTTACAAACTAGTTAACTGTGTGCAGAAGAGTGAAACTGGACCCTTATCTCTCATCATATACTAAGTAATAATCAAAATGGATCAAAGATCTAAACATTAGAATAGGAATGCCAAACCTACTGGAAGATAAACTAGGTAAAACTTTTGAAGAAATAAGTGTAAGAAAGTATTTTTTTAAACAGAACCTCAATTGCACAAGAAGTAACAGCACAAATCAACAAATGGGATTGTTTCAGATTAAAAAGCTTCTGTATAGCAAAAGAATCAATTAACAGAGTAAAGAGACAACCAAAGGAGTGGGAAAATATTGCCAGCTATTCCTTGGACAGAGGACAAATATCTAAAATATATAAAGATCTAAAAAATTAAATTTAAAATTAAAGACCAACTCAAGAAATGGGCCAGAAAAATGAATAGACACTTCACAGAAGAAGAAACATAAATGATCAACAAATATACTAAAAAAGTTCAACATCTCTGGACACTAGAGAAATGTAAATTAAAATAACACCAAGATTCTTTTACTCCAGAAAAAAATGGCAATCATTAAGAAATCAACAAGAACAAGTACTGGCATGGCTGTGGTGAGTAAAAAGCACTCGCTTATTGTTGGTGGGAAAGCAAACTAGTAAAACCATTATGGAAATCAGTAAGGAAATTTCTCAAAGAACTGAAATTAGAAGTTCCATATGACCTAGCTATCTTCCTGCAAGTGTCATTCCCAAAAAGTATAAGACGTCATTCTACAGTGATACATGGGTACCAATGTTTATAGCAGCACAAGTTGTAATAGCTAAATCCTGGATACAGCCTATGTATTATTTATCTACAGATAATTGGATAAAGGAAAGGTTATATCTATATATAATGGAGTACTCCTCAGCTGTAAAAAATGACAAATTGAGGCATTTGTAGGAAAATAGATGCACCTAAAAAATATAATGTTGAGTGAAATAAATCAGACTCACAATCTTAAATACCATGTGATATCTGTCATTTGAGTGAGGCAAAGTACAAAGAGAATGATAAAGGATAAACAAAAAGGGACAAGGAGATGAATTGCTTGCAGTAGGGAAGTGGTCCAGGGAAACAAGGGTGAGGGGTGAGGAGGAAGGAAAAATGAAATAAGTAGAATAAGGCTATGCCATCTACAGGAACATAATAATCTCAATGAATGTAAATATTATATGCTATAACATGAGATTATTAACATTGATAATACCAATAAGATTGAAAATCAGGATGAGGGACTTAGAGAAAAAGGAAAGAGGGAAGAAAAAGGGAAGAGGATTATAAAAAAGAAACAATCTGTAGCATGGTCGTATACTCATTCCCTGAGATGATTGTAAACTGCATGTACGGCAAATATATACTTATAAAAGAGTTAAAAAAGAATATACATTTTTTAAAAATTGGCATTGTCTTCTTGCTTTCTTTACGTATGTACACTCATATGTATCTATATATATATATGCAAATATACACACAAACAATAAAGTGAATCTTTTTGTTAGTTATACTGTAAATGTAAATTTTATATAATTTTTATCTATCTTTGGAAAATTATTTTACATTTTCAATCAATTTAATAATGTTGAAAATGTATTATTGTGTGCCTCTGTGTGTGTGTGTGTGTGTGTGTGTGTGTGTGTATGTGTGTGTGTGTAATACTGGGGACTAAGTCCAGGTCTTTCCTCTAAACTATTTTTAAAATTTTATTTTAGGACAGGATGTAGCTAAGATGATGGATTGCCTAAGTGTGCCTCAAACTTATAATCATCCCCCCCAGCCTCCCGAGGTACTTGGATCACAGACCTGTGTGAGAATGCCTAGTTTAGAATATATTTTTAATTTTAATTACACAAAATATAGGGTGTTCCAGGTTTGATGTAAAAATTGAAGTATTTTTTACTAATGTCCTGGGATATTTTTAATAATAATAATAATAATAATGCATTTATGATGATCTCTTAAATTTACCTTTGTTTATGGGTGTAGTAGGTTTCATAGTTTATTCTTTTCATTATGGATGTTGTGGTAAACCCTATGATGCTCAGCTTACTCCCTTTTGTCAGTTACATAGTTATTCCAAAAGCTCCCTAAGGTTCTGCCTGAAGATGGCCTAGGGTACAAATACTTCAGCAGATTGCTTGATCTACTTCCCAGAATTCTGAAAGTCATATAGCAGAGTTGGGCATATCCTTCATTAAAATCAAACTATGGTTAGTTTCTATGTCAAATCGTACTGCCTATCTTCTGCATAGTCAGATATAATAGCAAAAAGATGTCTTCTCTTTATTTCTAAACCTCTGTAGTATCTCTATTAATGTCCTTTTTATTCCATACTGACTTCTAAATTTTTTTGTCTGTATGGGTTTCATATCTTTTTCTTAGTCTTTGCAAAGATTCACTATTTTACTTTATTAAAGTTATTCTAAATATGTCTTTCTGTTGTGAAATTTTCTATTACTTAATCTTTTCTGTCTTTTCAGGATTTTTCTAGCTTTTTGAGCTTGATGACCAAATCATTATGTATAATCTAATATTCAATGCCTAATTATTTTAAATGAAAGACAACATGATATATGGTCTACCCTGATGAATAGACACTTGAAAATAGTGAGTATTCTGTTCCCTCTGGGTGAAGTGCTCTATAAATTTCAGTTAGTCCTACTTGATTAGTAATTGTACTCACATGATCTATTTATTTCCTGATCTCTTTATCCAGTGGTTCTCTCATTTGCTAAGAGTGGAAACTTAAATTCAACTAAGGTCATGGAAATTCTACTTCTCTTTTTGGATTAGAATATATTTCTCCTTTTGTTCTTTTTTTATCAGACACTCATCTATTTGCTTCTTTTGATGTTTTTAGAATAAATCAAATATATTTATTTTACATTTATCTTTATTATTAATCTGTTAATTGTGTATTTTTATGTTTAGAGGCCAGACTGAAGATTATAGTATACATCTTTGACACAATAAAATCTAATCCAAATTATTGAGTATTCTCATATTCTCAGTTATGCTGAAATAAGCACATTGTAGCTCCTTTGACCTCTACATGATTTTATGTGATTGTGATCATTCATATGATTTCTACATTTGAACATCATAAAATTATTTTTCTTTTTTTAAGTAATTTTCACTTAAATTTAACAACATATAATCTCTTTTCTTTGGTTTCCACTAATTTTTGTTTTCATCTAAAATGAAATCCTTAAATTTTATTTGTTTATTTGTGCATTTATACTTCATTTTTGAAGGCCTGGGAGACGTTTCCAGATATTGCTAGTAAATTTTTCACTATGTTAAGCTTTTTTGTTGTCTTTCCTAATTTTTTTAAAGTTGGCAATTAGTCTTACTAATTAATATGGCTTAAAGATAATGGTTCTCCAGTTCCCTAATACAAATATTTTATTTTTTCATAACTTTGAACAATTTTACTACAATAATCTGGTTTGAAGGTGTAGAGGTATATGCATTCAATTTGTAACTATATAATTTTACCAAGTTTAAAAAATTCAAGACTAGTATTGTCATGAATATTACTTTTTCTCCACTGACTCTTCTTTTTCAGGGACTGCAATTGGATGTATTCAGATATCTGTTGAATTTTTACACTGTTTTCTGGAATTTTTATGCTTTTTGTATTTATGCTTCTATATAAACCCCTCTTTTTGTCTTCCATATAACCTAATGCATCTCTCTACCACTCAATAAAAATTCAGAAGTATACCAAAAGTACAAAGATGCAATGAACTTACATCTTTCCTCCATCCATTTACCTTCAAGATTTTGGTTCATGAAGTCCTTGATTTTATTGTTACACTACAATGGATTTCCTGTGTCCTTCTAAAATTCATACATTGAGACCATAATTCCCAAAATGTTGGAGATTGGAGATGGATCATTTGTGAAGAGACTAGAATGTGAGAAACAGAACACTCATGAAAGATGTTAGTGTACTTGTAGGATGAACCCAGAGAAATAGCTAGTGCTTTTCTCATCATTCATGAATACTTCAGTTTTCAGCCTGCAACTGAGAAGGTCTCACCAAAAGCCAACCAGGCTAGCATTATAATCTAAGATTTGCAGCCTCTATAGTTATACAAGATAAATTTCATGTATTTTATGGTAGCCCAAACTAAGACATTCTCAAACAGCTTAAAGTGCTGTTTATCCAGGTCTCAAACTATGCAATCCAGGAAGTAATTTTGATATAATTTCATTTATTATGGCTGGAACATTTTACATTTTACTGTAAATTTTATCATATTATTAAAATACAATAATGATTGGGACATAAGAGATGCTAAATATTTATTAAATAAGGAAACGTAACAGGCATACCCTTTTTTAAAAATAGAAAAATTTATCTAATCTTACAATTATGCTTTTTAAAATGGCTTTTCCAGAGTATCTGGAACAAATATTTGACATTCTTTTTTAGTACCAAGAAACCATAATTTCTCTATTTAGCAATTACCTCCAGAAAAAAAGTAACATGGTGTTTTGTAGGTTTTATTTATGTACTAAATATAATTTATCCTCTTCCAAAAACCTGTAAGATAGATGAACATAAAATGTATTAGTGTTATTAATCACTTTACAAAATATATGCAAAATATATTCTCAATTATGATAGAATCTATTAATATAGGGGATCTTTCAGGGGATGACATCGACAATAAATGTAAAAGGATTAAAGTAATTTGCTAAAAGATTAAGATACACTATTGGTTAGAAAGGAGTTTCACGCAGAGTGGTATTTTATTCTATATCAATTTCCCATTTTCATTATCTATGCATTTCTGTTGATGGACATATAGGGTGCTTCCAAGAGTTAGCTATTATAAATTGTGCTGCTATAAACATGGATATGCATGTATCACTGTAATATGGTGTCCTTAACTGTTTTTGTGATGCTAACTAGGAGGGGAATAGCTAGGTTGAATGGAATATTTATTTTTAGTTTTTTGAGTAATTTCAACTTGATGTCCACAATGATTGTACTAGTTTACATGTACTAATACAAAACTGAAAAGAAGTACCAAATAGAAAAGTAGTGAAGTATAAAAAACAAAACCAAAGAAAATGAAAAAAGAAAAAAAAAAGAGCCACAGATGTAACACACACTGAAGGGGATAAGGATTATGCAGTGAATATGGACTCCCAGCAGAGGGGATCATGCATGCCATCCCAGGGATTATTATTTCTGTGTATTATAATTGGCAACTTTAAAAGAGTAAAGCAGTAAATACAGACCTATTAATAAGAAAACACCCTTCTTATATTTTTCTCTTGAACTTGGAATAGGAAAGAATTTTGCCTACAAAATCTCCAAATCTTAAAGTATTTATATTAGAAAAGGTATTAGAAAACAGTTAGGCATGGTGATACATACTTGCCATCTTAGCACTCTGGAAGGCCAAGGCAGGAGGATTACAAGTTCAACCTCAGCCTCATCAATTTAGAGACTTAATGACCCTGTCTCAAAATAATAAATTATATAGCTCACTGTGAAAGCCCTGTATTTAGTTTAATCCCATCTAATACTTGAAAGATAGAATGAAAGAGAGAGAGAAGAAAGAAAGAAAGAAAGAAAGAAAGAAAGAAAGAAAGAAAGAAAGAAAGAGATAAAAGAGAAAGAAAGACTCACCACAAATCTGAGGAGGAAAGTTTTATTTTGGCTCACATTTGTAGAGATTTCAGTCCCTAGTGAACCAGCTCCAAGGCAGGACAACTTGGCAGAGGGTCATGGCAGAGGAGAAAGAGCTAATGGCATGACAGTGGGAAGCAAAGAGACATCAAGGGAGGAAAGAGAGAGATACAACCTTCCAGGCTACTACCACAGTGACCCACCTTCTCCAACCAGGCTTTATCTTCCAACATTCCATTTAGCTGTAAATGCATCAGTGATCTAATCCAAGAAAGAAAGAAAGAAAGAAAGAAATAAAGAAAGAAAGAAAGTAAGAAAGAAGAGAGAGAAAGGAAAAAAAAAAGGAAGGAAGGACAGATGAAAGGCAGGCAAGTAGGAAATTTAGGGTACATAAGAAAAATCTTACATTTAAAATCTTCCTCAAATTTCACAGTACATAAACTAGAAAATGGAGAAATAATAAAATACCTCTGTCAAACTCAGTGTCAACCATCACTGCTACTTTCCACTGTGTACTAGTGATCCAAGTCAACTGAGTAAGAAATAAAAGAGAAAATGTCCATTATAGGAAGTGAAATTAATTTATCACTTATCTCACATGATGTGATCTTTTGCTAGATGTATGAAAGAAAACCTAAAAAATTATAAATTATCAATACATTTTAATATAAACCAGTATATAAAAACCATTAGAAAATTTAGATATCATAAACTATCAATTATAAAAGTTAATTTAAAAACATAATTTGAAACAGTAACAAAAAATTAAGGTTTTAAAAATAAACTTTTACAGTTTTTTTCAGAATTTAGAGAGAATTATATTTCTTAAAATGCATAACCATATTTATACAAAAAGTGGTCTATAAGCACCAAATCACATTTCTCCCTCCAAAATTTGTAATTCCAGTAAAATTGATCCAAAAGTTTGTATTAAAGACTATATATATATTTGAAAAGGAAAAAGTAAAAGCCAACATCTATTATAATAGATAAAAATAATTATTACAAAATACTAATTAAAACCCTATGATAATGACATAAGGATATAAAAAGAATTGATGAAAATTCAGAAACAAACAAAAAAAGTTATATACAAATTGGCATTTGGAATACAGGAAAGATATCAACAAAAAAAATGGGCAAGGGCCAGGGATTTAACTCAGTGGTGCGGCTGCCTGCCTCACAAGCACAAGGTCCTGAGTTTGAACCCCGGTACCAAAAAAATCAATGGGCAAAAGGTAGACTCTATCTGGTTATATGGCTATATATTATTTCTAATGTATTATAGTA